GCTCCATTTCCAGGCGAGCACAGGCAGCAGCGTCACTCTGCAAGGCGTACCAATACTGTTCCCGAAACCTTAGCTTACCAAAAGGGAACTGCACTTCAGGCTGGCATTCCGTAGGTATCAGTTTTCTGGCATCACTGATGTCCTGCAGCCGAAATAAGAAAGGCAAGGCCGAACAGCGCTGACAGGATTCTTTGGAGTCGTATTTCTTCTGCATTGTAAAGCACTAAATGTCACCAAGAATTCCTTATCTGCTCTTTTGGGCAGTTAAACTCCATGCAAGCCCCCCTCTAAAATTAAACAGCATACTCCACTGGTATCAGGCCCGTGAAACAAAATCTACTAAGTTTTCTGGTTTGTTATTAGTTGCCGCTGAGAAAGGGCAGATGATTTTTCATTTAACAGATGCTAAATATTCTACATTCCCACAGCATTCGTAGCTCAGGCTGGTTTCTTCCTCGTTTATGATGTTTATGCAGTATGCTTCATGCAGAAATTAAGATAAAGAAGGCAGTGCTCCTCATGAAGGTGCTGGACTTTGGAAGGAGGCACTGAAAGAGCCTATTTTATTGACAGCAAATATGAAACCGCATTCAGACGTTGTATTGAAAAAGCCTGCTTGTAGCTGTAGTTAATAATTAACATGCATGTGCATACAGTAGTCTTCAAGTGACCGTCTCAGTCTAAGAGCCCCAAACAGCAAAAGTGAGGTTAAAAAAAATGACTAATTCAGTAACTTGACATTTTCTGTCAGCTACAGACAGGCTCAGCGATCAGTACGTGAGACAATATTGCATTCAGGCAGAATCAAGGCATGAGGAGTAGAAATTTAATCTTACTTCCAGGTATGAGTCAGATTATTTGGTTTACACTGTGCTGGGTGTCTGTTTCCTTAATGAATGTTTAAAAACTTCATCTGTTAGTTCTGTAAATTTTTTCCTTTTTCTGAAGCTCCTTTTGTAATAGTGGCCTTACAACAGCTGTTAATGGTTCTAAAATGCTGTGAAGAGGAGTAATACTATTGACATATTTAATGTATTCCTAATTTTTTTTAGCAGAACAGTAGAGAACATTGATGGCTACCAGAAGAGCTTACATCTGGAAACTTACAATGCTTACAAAATTACTCATTGTAATACTGATCACTTAGCATAATTGCCATGACACAAACAATTTTTAAAACAATTCAGCAAACTGGAGAGGGCAGCAACATTATATGGCTTGTTTTAAACATCTGTTGTTTCCAAACTTGTCCATCTTTCCTTAACCTGAACTCCAAAAAAGTTTTTGCAATTAATAATTGTTTAAAAACCTTTATTTGTTCATAGCTCTGTTTATTCTACTCCCAGCAAAAGAGCCTCCGCTGGCTATCTCCTTTGGCAGAGGTCATGAATCTTGTTTTTGTTCTACGACTGCCAATGGTACAACTTACATGAAAGACAATTTGTGACAGAGGGGGACGTAACTCCGAGCAACTTTTTTTATCTTTAAACAGGAGTTTTTTAAAAAAAACCCAAAACTCAATAGCAAAATGGACTGCAGCATGTTTGATTGGTTACAATTATAAATAGTGGTGTGCAGTAAATTTAAAATGTCATCCCCTGAGGGGCCACAACATGATGCAGCTTGCTCCTAGTCTTTCCTTGCCCTGCCAACAACATCAGTCATTGGGCAGAGTTAACCTCTGCCTGATAGCCTTTGCATCTGCCCCTCCCATGCTTCCTTTTCTATTTTGAATGCTCTTCCAGGTATTTTGGCAAGCCTCCACCTTCCTTCCCAGGACTCCCACACATTCCAGAGCTGGTTAGCACAATCACTGAGTTCAACCATTAACCAGAAACTAAAAGTAATAAAACACAAACCTCCATGTGAATCCCCTTATTTGGCTACCAGCTCTTCAGGACAGGTCTTTACCTCATTTATTGAAGCTGCTAAAAGACTTCGGGAATTTTAAGGAAACAAGACAGGATGATTTTATCACATAGAACAGTCTTGCAGGGAAGAGGCAACATTTCTTAAGAATCACCACAAGTGGAAAGGAAAATGAACCAACAAACACTAGTCAAGCATGCGGGCATCTAACTCCTGTCAAACAAATGCAGTGTTTTGTGAGCAATACAGACTACGAGCAGTTGCCGTAAGCTTAACTTATAAATTAATGAATTAACTTACATGAATTGAGACTTCCAAAGAACTCACTGGCATACAGGAAACAATGAATTTTAGCAAGGTTAGACATGCTGGGACTTTCAGACTATAGGCCAGAAACAGAAAAACACAATCATCAGAAAGTGATTAGCTATTAGTGAAAACTCTGATATACCTAAAATTTCTCTGGTGAGTCTGAGCATCCAGTACAGCTCCAAAGGCCAATACTCATCTTTCAAAAGTACTCCATAGGTCTTCCTTCACTGAAAATGCAGCAACTGTCTTGCAGGAAAAATGCTGCCAGTAAGTGTGTATCAAAGGATTTTCCTTTAGCTATTTCTTTTGGGAGAGGTGAAGCAAGAAACTACTGACATGATGTCAGGTGCATAACCATAGAACAATCTGCTTATTCAAGTTAAGTTACGGAAGTGAAAAATAATACAGAAGAGTGATTTGTCTTGGACCAATATGCAAAGTCTGGTATTAGGATCAGAGCTTGTCCTGTGTCTCCACTGTACGAGCATGATGGCTGATGGGAGTCCTTGCCCTTACTTAAAATTTGATGCAAGTATTGGACCCAAAAATGAGTCATGTCCTGTGATTCATTTTGTACACCAAGATAAAACTCACTCTAACTTGCTGATGCTATTTATCATCACCAGTTAGATTAAATCCATTTGTTACTTGGATGCCTAAACCCAGGAAATTGTTTGCATAAATAGCAGTAGCGTTATGAAGGGCAAGGCACATCAAATGTGAAAATTTAAGTGCTCTGATAAAATCCACCCCGATTGTCCAAATTTTGAACAGAATCTTTCCAGTAGGTGTTTTAAGAAACACAAAGAATTAAAAACGATATGCATGTCCGCAGTCTTTAGCTTTATCATCATAGCCTGAAATCACACCTTTACAAAATGAATTAAGAATACTACATGCAACTTTATTTTGGTATAAACATTTCCATGAGATGTAAGGGAATGGAGAACGAACCTCCAAATATGAATCAGATCCATGTTAGTGAATATGTTGCATGCAAATCATTTAAGAAAATATTTTTCTAACTGACTTTTCCAAAAATTAATTACATAACCTATACATGATCAGGCAAAGGAACAACCAGGAGGAAGTATCCTTGATTCAAATATCAAGTCATTAACATCTATACAAATGTGTTTAAATAGCTATTTGAACTACAAGGAGATTGAGCTAAATACTACCGTTTTCCATACACTGTAAATTATTTTCAGTGTTCACAATTCAAAACAGTAAAAAGATGTTCTATTTTTAGCTTTCCTTTATTAAAAAAAGCATCTTTTACTCTTGTACTCATATGAGCTGGTAGTCATTGTATTTACCTCATCCAGTATAGCTGAAATTTCATTTAATTGTCATGTGTTTTATTTTCATTGAAAAACATGCAAACAGTGTGCACAATTAACAAAGAGCTGCTTTCAGTGAAATGTTACTCTCTATTTAGTGGTGGGAAATAGCAGGTAACAATGCTTGTACTTTAAATGCAAATACTGGGCAACAATACTATATAGCTATTATTTTTCAATGACAAAATGAATCGCATCTGTAGTAATTCTAGCTAGCCAGAGAATCATGCCAAACTAACCAGAAGCATCAGAGGAACCAAGAAGAAAAACAGTTGGCACTGAACATCTTTTCAAACATTGATAAACAATTTGTAAGAATATGGTGCAACTGTTTCCTCAAGAATGAGTCAACAACATTGTTCTTCCATTTTACAGGCAATTAAAACCCACAAGTGGTAATAACACAACAGTGCAAGTTTAAAGTTTTTTGGTTTAAGATCTGGAGTACGTAATTTCTTTCATTCTCATTTTTTAACAGCCTGGAAAAGACAGCTTCATCAGCCTACATACCATACTAAATTCTAAGAAGCAAAATGTAAAAGTTTCTGCACCAGCACGGTACTAAGGGAAGCCTTGTTTTATCATGGTGAAAAAAGATAATCTAAGCTTACTTAAGAAATGCAGCAGAACAAAATTAGTGCAAATTTTTGCTACCATGAGAGGATCTGAATTGTGCTTAACTAAAAAAAAAAGTCAGTATGTATTTTTAGTCTTTGAAGAACAAAAGGGAACAGAAAGAGAAATCCACAGTAACACAATGAAGTGTTTAAAGACATATTGCTGCACAGTTTAAACATCACATACCAGCCTTTCCAGTTCCGTATGGTGCTTACAGCTACACAGACCTCTTAGTAATTTAAAGTTTAGCTCAAAAAAATCCTAATATGAAAGAAACTATAATTTGGAGAAAAGAGCAAGTCCTGTAATACTGAGAGAAAAACGCTTATTACATGCTTTACACAAAATTAAAAATTTCTACCTGCCACAGTTATTTTGTTTATGACATGTTCAATTTGACTGTGATGCGTTATTCACTTGCAATAGTCACAAATTTTAATGCAATGCCTTCAGAGTACCACAACTTAAGTCAATGTGATTCACAGGCATTTCTTGTTTTGGGTCAACGTCTCACCAAAAGAAGTTCGGCATTTGTGTATTGGTCAGAAGTCACCAGGTGGGTCAGTCCTTGCCTCCAAATAAGACTACAGACAGTAAGAGTTTGTGACTTTCCTCTGCAGTAAGAAATGCAGTGACTGGAAGGGCGACCTCAACCACCTGTACTATATGGACAGGGATTCAAGAAGTGACACAGAAAGCCAAAGACTGAGCACTAGAGAAAAATATACTTTTTTCATTTTTGTCGCACAACATAGTGATGTCAAGAAAAACAACAGAATTAAACTCAGGTACTTCAGAAACCAAGGAAGGGCTTGGCTTGTGGTTAAAGTCTTTAAACTTCCATGAGGTAGGATATCATCAAGTATCTTCTTTCCCAGAATATATTAAGCAGGACAAATCCAATTTAGTTTTTAACGCTGTTGAAAATTCTTTTGATAGTAGTTCATGAAGGGATACTTTGTCATGAGAATACACCCAATTCCGTCCAGTCCAGTCATAGCGCTTGGGCCCACTAGAAAACAAAACACACACCGTGTAAGTACAGATTATTCATGGGGAGCTGCTAGAAGCCTGCATTTATAATGCACCCCAGAGTGTGCCCAGGAACAGGAACAGACAGCATGGAGAAGGACTGGTGGGCAGTCTGGGGAAGTGGAGCAGAAAAGGCCAGATCTGCCAGGAACTGCTGAGCCATCCAACAGATAGTATCTGGAATGTGACAAGGTATTATCAGTCACTCCCAGCGGACACAAGCTCCTTCCCTTCTTGCTTTTGGCACTGATTTCCCCAATTTCTTTCCTTACCCCGTTTTTCCCCCACCTGTATAATTTTCTTGCACACAAATATTACAAGAGGTATTTGTATAATGCTGAATTAATGCTATCGATTAGTTCTTGCAGCAGTCACATGCAGATATTCTAAGCACAGCCAAACACAAATCAGCATTCTCACTCTATTTACATGCAAGAAAAGAATTCACTAGCTGAAAGCAAATATATTGGCATATGGGAGATTTCTATTTAAAATGCTATTCTCCTCTGTGCTATCATACAGTTGTTGGCTTAATTTTTCAGGCCTGTATTAAGTACCAAGAAAGAAACCTAACATCTGGGTTCCATTCCAGATCCTTCTATCCACCCGATTCTCCACAGCTGAAACAGGAGAATGACAGAAACGCACTCAGTATGTTAGAGTCAGCTAGAGAAACTAAGAAAAGAGAAAGGAATTAAATGGTCGTCTGCAATAGACAAACCATCAGTCTTATCCTTGAACTCGTACAACAAAATGCCTTGGAACTGAAGCAATCCACGTACCAGCCCTGCTAGAAAACAGACTATCCTATATATACGCAAGAACAATCTGCAGGCTCTCTACAAACATAAATACTAATCTGAATCCTGAATATCCTGAATTACTCACAATATTAAAATTAAGAACTTTCCAACCACTAATGACACCATGAGATGTCACAAATGAAAACACAAATCAAAGTCACTTGCACTGAAATTCTCAGTTCCTGTGTGTGAACTGGTAACTGTTTGGAATCAAGATTATGTGCTCCAGTTACTTCTCAATTCTTTTGTCTTTGCAGCACAAGCGTATGTTTGTACTGTCTTGTACCTAGACAATGACAGAATGGGATGCAGCCATTCATGAAAATTAGGCTAAGACAGGCCATTTAATCAACAATGACAAAGAAAATAAATGTCTTATTTGAACTGTTTTTAAATGTTATATAGTAAATATCAGTGATAAGGTTAGCATATGAAACACCTCCATAGTTCTCAGAATCTCCAAAATGCTGTACAAGTGTGACTTTGTCCATTTAAATAAGCAATTTATGCAAGGATCTTGTGAATTTTATAAGCTGCCTACAAAGTTATATATAGACTAAATATATTTCTCATGGAAAGTCTGCATACATTTTTAAACAGTGAGAAAGAATAATTAAAATACCAAATTAAGGTATTAAGAGATGCTGTGTAAAGTTGAAAAGTCTTTTCAATCAAAGGAACTATATGAAATTACTGCACTCACACTGCTGGCAGGTTGCACCCACCCCCTCACTCCCTTTTTTTAAATTGTCAACTAAGTGAAGTTTTACAAACACAAGCTTAAGTTAACTTCAGTGTATAGATGCATGATAGCAAACAAAAGATGAAAAAAATTCAAGAAAATATCTGTCTCTCACATCTTAAGAATTTATCTCCCTTGGGATATGTTCTTAAAGACTCAAGGTTCCACTTTTACGGTACAAATTTCCCAAATACAACATTCAGTGCAAGTGATTACTGGCAGTAACATTTGCTTCTTTCACTTTGTGGTATATTGCAGTTAAGAAGTATGTCACTTCAGATCATACAGTATTTGCCAGAGTTGCTTTACAGAAGTTAGGAGGTAAGTGAACACGTAGCATCGTTATTTCAGAAAATACCATGGTTTGTCACAATACCAGTTAAGGAATCACCAAACTTAGTATTTGCAGGTGAATCGTTCTTCATCACAGATGATGAAAAATACTGTCAGAAAATTTTCAAGTTTATCTCTTTCCTTGTGTATTTTTATTCTCTACTGGACCAATCAAAAAAAAGTTTAAAATTTTTTCACAAATTCCATATTCTGGAGCATGTATGTCCTAACGCAATTAGAGCTAGCTCCAAACAGGTAGAGGTTCTCTGAATTTTGATTTTCATAAATAGATGAAAACTTTATGTCAGTGACACAAAAAATGTTACAGTCATCTTAAGCAGAATCAAGGTTTGGAAATTATGCTTGTGTGAAATACATGGAATAAATAAATTCTGACACACAGCCTGCATCTGTCTAAACAAAAAGGTTTGCTAGCTTGCTAGGCCTGTGCCTTAGCAAGTCAGGTACCTGTTAGGTAAATTATTTAATTATTAAAAGGATTCTGGGATAGGACAAGAGTTAGTAGAAAAAAATTACTAATGTAGTATGCTGTGCAGCAGCCGCTACATAAGTACACTAAAGCAAAGTTAGAATTTTCTTTAGGTAAATTTTATGTCTATTAAATTTGTTTCTCTTAAAATCTTAAATTCCATTGTGCTTTTTTTTTTTTCCCTGACACAAATCCCACTACTGAATTCTACTACTGCAAAACTATTCGTGGTTTTGCAATCAATACATTCTTTCTGAACAACACTCAAGAGGTACACCTGCGTAGTTACTGGGAGTGCTCATACTTTCCAGCTAGGTGGTTCCTTCACCAGTAACACCAACCAACTCCCTGAGTTCTCTTCCTGGGATAGTGGCAGAGAATACAAATTTTTTGAGGGGACAGCTACAACATTTTCCCACTTATCTGGTTGCCCTCCCTGTTGAAACCAACCAGAAAACCTGGAAACCAGCATTACAGAAGGCAGAGGGAACAGCTAGCCAGGGCTCCCATAATATGCAGATGCGTGACAAAAACAACCAGTGGGAGAGCACATAAACATACAAAGCAGGAAATCCCACAAGCTTAAAGGGGAAGGAGCCACCCTGTTTAAATACAAAGAGAGATTTATATCGTAACATCATCATCACTCTTTTTCCAACAGAAGCTTTGATGGCTTTTTTTTTAATCATGGCTGTTTATTTTTTCTGAGTAGGCTACATTCTTGTAGACAGTGGTTTAGAACCTGAACAGGGTATGAAAATTCTGTATTACACATATCATGGATTAATTTAGGTACGTCAGTATACTGCACTGTGCCTCAAACCTCTATAACAAGATATTATAGACCATTTAGATTATATCATGTTTAGTAAATATACTGATTAAAAGGGTTACTTGTGAAAAGGATATTACATAGTCCATGTTGTGCCATAAAAAAAGGGGACATACATTTCCACCCAGTCTGCAGACATTACATAACTTTAACTTACACATAACTTACCTAGTGGGTGAGGACAGCCAAATCTGCCGGTTTGGTGTTTGCTTATTGATTACATATGTTCCCATGTCTCCACCTAATTTAACTGTTAGAACTCCACTCTTAAAACACAAAGAAAAGAAGTGAGAAATGCAAAATTTGTATCCTGTTACTTGACAAAAATTACATCATCTGCAGTAGATGAACAGAAACTTACATATCTGTATCACATTCCCAACTATCTCCCAAACAGTAATAGCTTGGAAGAACGATCATTAGGTATCAATGACTTGTGTTAATACCTAGGCCAACCGGCATATCTTTGAGTCTGATCTAGACTTTAAACCTTCTGGTCAGAGTTTGATTTAGTGTGTTTGCACCATTCCCAATGGCACTACTTAAACAATACTCTTGAGCTTTGACCTGTCATCTTGAAAGGACTGCTAGTTCATTTTGCAACGACTAAAACATCATCCAATAACAACTTTTTCTAATCATGAACAATGCAGAACTGGTGTGGTTCAAAGTCAAGAAGCTTTATGTGTCATTGCTACCTAAGCCATGCAATTTTACCTAACTTTTCTTGAGTAACTGTAACAGTTTCCTAGTGGACAAACACAATTATTTCTCCAATAATTCTGACGAAGTGCCTAGATCCTGAATCATACCTCAAAAATGTTCCACTACAAACTCCATGAGGTCTGGTTTGTTTTAGTTATGCCAGCTTTAGAGCATTATCCCAGTGAGCATTTATTTTCTTTTTCTTACTTAAGTTTCTTACTGACAACATGATTCACATTTCTCTGACATTTTCACAAGTGCATTTGAAAAGCATACGTAACTCTGACAAAAATATTTCTGTCCTAACTTTAAAAGAACAACACTACTTGGACTAGAGTTAACATACAGATGATCTGAATTATGCTAATTAAAAAGGATATCTCTACAGAATACAGTTTGATGATTCAGGTAATTGGTTAGTCATATTTAATCTACATTTTCTGAAATACTTCATGCCCTACAGCACGATAAATCTTCTTTAAGGGAATCATACATTTCATGCTTTAGCCAGAAGATACTACTAGAGCTACTAGTATTGCTAGGGCTATTTGCTACATATAAACACCTACTGTGGGGAAAAAAATACTTTAATTTATGAGTACCTACTGCCTGCAAACTTACTCTGTAGCACAGGCAGCAGCTTAGAGCTTCCCTCCCCTACCAAGTAACTCAGTGTTACTGGTTTCTGACATATCTCAAGGGTCATCAGCCATGAAATAATACCCTCAAGGTCTGATTTTTCTTACGTTAGTTTCCGTGTGTTTCTATGCTTGGTAAGGGATTTATATCTGTGATCAATAAAATAAAAATAAAAGGCTCCTCTGGTTAATATTGCCATGAGGTTGTCCTGCCGGTTATGTTAACTGGATATTGGTTTAGTGCAAAGAAGGACAAGAACAAGCTGCTTCTCTGGTTGTCAGAATTCAAACTTTTCTATATCTCAGTGGTCTTCGATCTGTAGAGGTACAGCAGAGTAAGAGCAGGTTGGGCAATTAGGCCTGAATAGCGATATAAATGTTTCACTATTCTTCTACATGCTTTTAATGGGTTTCACTATTCTTCTACATGCTTTTAATGCCATATTAAGTGTTCAGCATGACGTTATGCTGTATGCTACAGAAACACTGTAAGTAAATAGGTTTCCAAAGAGTTAGCAAAAAATTTATACTATTGTTTACATTGTATGTCAGCTGTTGGGGAGCGTTGTTGCTCTGTCATTGCAAATTAAATAAAGGTTAACTTCTAATGCTGTGTTTAAAACATTTTCCCATACATTTTGCAATACTTTTGAAAGACTAGAAAATACAACTTCAGTTTTTAAGAACTTAAATTGCAGATATTTTTACCATATTTTAAGGAATGCTATTGTATGTGTTTTGTATTGCTGGATGAATGTTTCTTAGCTCCCGGTAACACGAATATTCTTTGAAAGAGATTTGTGTCCTTGGACACACAGACGTAAATTGCATGAGGAAATCAAGTTCATAACAATTCACAGGCAAAACATACCTTTATCATGTTCGCCACCTTGTGGCGTCCTATAGCACTAGCCTTGTTTGTTTGGAATGAAATCTGGGCCGTTTAACTTTTCGCTCTTAACAGAAACGACAACATATTATGTCATCATACGGTCTACGCAACAAAGGAGTACTGGTAAAAATTAAGATGATGTAAAAATAATTCCTTTTGAGCCTCACAGTGAGTCAATGTCAAACATAATCCACTCTACGGTGGCTGGAGATAAAATTCTGACATAAAATGACACATCACCTTCAAGTAATGAAGTGTCCAAGAATATTAAACAGGTAAATTATAATATTTTTGCTAATTTTTATCCTAAGCTCTTTAAATCAGGCGAATAGGCACTGATAAGCTAAAACATACTGAATAGTAATGGTTGAACAATTCTTTGCTTTTCACTAGAAAAGCAACCACCTATAACATTAATTACATACTTAATTAAAGCAACAAATAGTATTTGCTAAGGGCAACAACGGAATCCTACTAACAATATGTTATTTTCTATCCTAGCTATAAGAAATAAAGAATGAACATTATGATGACAAAGCAAGTCTGAAAACGATAAGGTTTTGTTGTTTTGGGTTTTTTTGCACAGTGCAACCCAAACCGTCTGCTTCAATGTCCCTAAGCATAAAACCTTAACCGACAGGGCTAGCAGAAAGCTTTGTGGTAAGACATGGAGAGGGAGCAGCAGTTATGTGACCTCAACAAAAAGCTGTAGTGAAAAGACCTGTGATGCAGACAGCAGGGTAGGGATAAACTGCACTCTCAAGTCACGCAGAAGGCTGTAACATACAAACCACTTCAGGAACTGTGGTTCCATATAAAATGAATTCCCTATACAAATAGAATGGACACTTTTAATCTGTCACTCCTGTAAAAGAATTTGAGTAGCTGACCTACTAAAGGTTCCAATTACTAGGCTAATTGTATGCCTCTTGTGACAGTAGCCTTCTCCCCATGTCTGCTGGTCTCCCTTTTGCAACCACGTATTCAAACATTGTGTGCTCTTGTTGCTCCTCTCCACCACAGGCTGTCATTAGTAAAGCCAGTACAAATGTACTATACCTGGTCAAGACAAATGCTGCTTCTCAGTATTCAGGGTAATCAAAGAAACTGCTCTACTAGTTATATGTAATGTACATGTACTATGCCATGTAGGCCTGTCCTACTGTTCACCAGGAGGGAAGTGACTGCTGACGTCAGAAGTCTATGCATGCTCAGAGAAATTTATAGACCAGTGAGAAATTAGAAACTAGTTTCTGTCTCCTCTTGTGGTCATTTATTAGTCTATATTATGTCTTTCTCTATGCACTAAACATGTTAAATCCTCAAATCATACAACAGCATGTGTTACTTTTTACCAGAATAGTTGCTCCAGTCAGTATAAACAGGCGTATTTTAACAATAAGGCTGTAAAAACTCGTATTTTAAGTGTTGGCACTAGGGTGACTAATTTAAAATTCTTCTTCTTCAAAAAAAAAATATATACACTAATTACTGTGGTAATAGAATGTTTACAACATACCCCTAAAGAAACATCATAATCTTCTGGGGTGAAAGGCTTATCTGTCAGGTCCTCAAAGAAATCTGCTAAGGAGTCCAGTGTTTCTTCAGCCAGTTTTTCATAAGTGGTCTCATCTAAAGAGCTACAAATGACATACAAGTCTATAATTAGGAGGAAAAACAGGGAAGACAGTATTTTGCCTATAATAAAAGCACACCAAGACCACGACCTTGGAGGAAACAGTAACCATGAAATGATCATATAAAACAAGTAGTCACTTTTCTTAAGGTAAAGTAGGTAACAATCCACCTTATAAATGGAGGTGGAATTTCAAAATTTTGGTAGTAGAGATCTCTTAACTGAGGAACATGTACTTCTTTCCTTAGATATACTGATCCCTGTTTACTAAGAGGACCGAGTTAGATTTCAAATCAAGGCATTTTCATAAAAGGACTTTGTGTAAGAATTAGTTTTGAAGTCTACAAATAGAGACAAGCATCTCCTGTTCAGAAGCATATGTCATTTGACTCTTAAGAAACTTACTCTAAGTAGTTTAGAAACACCAATATCACATGCCATGTCTATGTACAGCATTTGACTTCTCAACTGGAATTACCAACGCAGCCAAGAATTACACATTATTTAAAGTGTACTTATGAACTAATACATACAATTACTTTCTTCTTCAGAGAGTCTCAAAGCACCCTTGTAGCCATTACCTAAGGCTTACAGCACTACTGAGACTGCTTCTGTTATCCTCTTTAATAAGAAAATAAAGTTAATGGGAGCAATGTCTAGATCAGTTTAATTAACCAAATGTAATTAGATCATGTAAGTATGATCCACCTGTATCACCGTCAACTTTTAACTGATTGTGTAGGTGGGTATCTCTAGCAACAGACAATTCAGTGAAGTAATTTCAGTTTTTGCTAACGGGTATGGCAACACAACAGTCACTAAGCTCTATGGTCACTCAGTATCTTTCAGCTGACAATACAGAACATAATTTTTTTAAGTTTCTTGCTAGCAAGTTACTGAAAAACACTCTTTGCCACTTACGTGAGGGACACCACAGAAACACCGAGGAGTGTGGAGAACAGAAAGCCTTAGGATTAGGCAGGATTCATGTACTGGTTCAGGGTGCAGTTCAGGTACTTAACGGTAAGAGCCATTTTAGACATCTCCACAATCCTTCCCTGGGCCTCCAACTGCTGCATCAGAAGGTGAGAAGTCTCTGACAGATACTGTGTCATATCCTCTCAGTGGAAGTGGAAATTTCAAGTACTCTGACGTATGTGAAATGGTGCTAGACACCTATGTTTAGGTACATGAATTATTTCCTAAGAGACCTCCCAAATTCACCCAAAATGCTTTTTGCTAAAACTTCACTTTTCCTTTACATCATCACATCAACATTACATTAGTTTGATAGTCTTACTAGGTCTAGAAATTATTTTAAATTGCAGAGATGATATTTTCATATGAGTATCTCAAAATAAAATTTACCTTGTGTCATTCAGAGTTCCTGCATTTCTTAAATTCATGAACCGAACAGCCTTGCTCTTTGCCTCTGAAGCATGTTGCAACTGCTGTTGAAAGTAAACGTAAATAAAATGGAATTAAAAGTTAAAATATGAAGAATTATAATTACCTATTTGTCACATAAATTAGATCCTTGAAGATCTTTCTATCCCTCCCAAGTAAAATATTCATATTCTATATCATAGAGCTAATACGGAGATAATTATGCAGCTTTAGTCCTTCGATGATCAAAGCAATCTAGAATATCCTTGTCTTCTGATACAAACTAATGAGAAAAAAAATTATTCACAGAATGGTAAACTAGGAAATAAAAGTGTTTTCTTTTTTGTTGCTCTACCACAGAATTAGTGAGCAACTTCAGACAACTGGCTTAGCCCAAGATTTTCACAAGCACCGACCACTCAGACACTCCATTATCAACACCGCGTGTCTCTCTGTCAGACCCACGAATAATTCGAACTCCTGCTAGCGTACAGTTGGTACCAACCCCCCCCGTACAGCACCCATCTTCCGCAATTGGAAAAGGGTAGCAAAGGCGCACATAGCTTTGGAGTACAGCAAGGGCCGGGTTCCCCGCCGGAGAGCCCTCGCTGCCGCCGTTCCTG